TGGATATGAGGATGATTTCCAGCATATGAATACAACAGATTTAAACTGTTGATAACTTCCTATTACAATTCAATTAATAGCACAAATGAGAGTTGGACAAATATAAACATGCTCTTTTAGATTATTTGCATTTCTTTATTTGAAATAAATTATTTCTGCTTTTTTCTCATTATAATAAAAGCATATGTTAAAAACTTTTGCATAATAATGCTACATAATACAATATATAACTAGAGAAGAATGTATGCCAAAAAAGTTGAAAAGGATCAAAAAGTTATACATTACCTGAACTGGTTAAAATAAATATTGTCTATTGGAATTTTTAAGAAATGATTATGATAAAGCCCTTTTTCTTTTTCTAATGTAAATATTTACCATTTTCTTCTAAGCACTAACTTTATGTACTTTGTTTTTGTTGAGTGGAGTGTTCCCTAAACACCATCAATTGGTTATAATATTGAGTAAATCTAAGATGTTTTCATAGATTTTCTGACTCATTCTTTAATAAGAAGCAAAGTTTAAAGTGTCAACATGTAACAGTGGGTTTTTTTTTATCTATTTTGCTTTTGGTTCTAACTGTCTGTAATATTTTGGAGCTTTGTTGTTATGTGCATAGACATTTTTTTTGGTGCCAGTCCTGGGGCTTGAACTCAGGACCTGTGCACTGTGCCTGAGATTTTATTTTGTTTAAGGATAGCACTCTACCATTTGAGCCACAGCTCTACTTCCCATTTTCTGGTGATTATTTGGAGATAACAGTCTCAAGGACTTTCCTGCTTAGGCTGGCTTTGAACTGTGATCCTCAGATCTTAGCCTCCTGAGTACCTAGGATTACCAGCAGGAGGCACCAACACTAGTATATTTTTATAATTATATCATATTCATGTTTATTTCTGTAGTATTTCTTTTTCTGAAGTTTAATTTGTTGAATATTAATACATAGTTCCTTCAATATTGTTTTTTCATGGATTTTTTCATTTTAACTTTTAATCTATTTCATAAGCAGTATACTGTTGGATTATTTTAATAAATTATACTGATACTGTCTTAAATTGTATGTTTAGGAAATTTATATTTGTTATAATTATTAATATGCAAAATTTAGTTTATTATCAGTCTTCTGTTTGTGCCCTTTGATTTTATTTCTGTTAAATTAAATTTTGTGCATTTTCTTTTACTTCAAGGAGTATGTGGCATAGATTTTTATATAATTAAATAGCTCTTTAATAAAATTATAAAGCAAGCAGTGATTTTCCTTTAATTGCAAATAACTTAGTCATTTTATTATACAAAACTAGTGTTTTATATTTATTTTTCAGATACTGGCACAAAAATTAATGAAATGTTCAAAACTTTTCTTTCTTTTCCAAAGATTATTCAGTCATATTAAACCTGTCTCACCAGCTCCAATCCAAGCAAGTGTGAGAACCTGAATTCAAACCAGCGGTACTGTCAAATTTTTCTGAGAAAGGGTAATATAGAAAATATGAAGTCAATAATGAGAATTTTCTCTGAAGAGAAAATAAGAATGGTCAATAGACCCATGAAGAAATGCTCAACTTTTCTAGCCATAAAAGAAATGCAAATCAAAACAACATTGAGCTACCACCTCACCCCAGTTAGAATGGCTATAATCAAGAAATCTAATAACAACAGATGCTGGAGGGGATGTGGCCAAAAGGGAACCTTACTGCATTGTTGGTGGGAGTGTAAACTTGTTCAACCACTTTGGAAAGCAGTATGGAGGTTCCTCAAAAGATGCCACATAGAGCTCCCCTACGACCTAGCAATGCCACTTGTGGGCATTTACCTGAATGATCTCAAACAAGTCTATACTAAAGCTACCAGCACAACTATGTTTATCGCATCATTATTCATCATAGCTAAGATATGGAACCAACCCAGATGCCCCTCAGTAGATGAATGGATCAAGAAAGTGATACGTGTGTGTGTGTGTGTGTGTGTGTGTGTGTGTGTGTGTGTGTGTGTGTTTGTGAATTCTATGCGTCCATCAGAAAGAATGACATTGCCCCATTTGTTAGGAAATGGAAAAATTTGGAAAAAAAAATTAAGTGAAGTAAGCCAGGCTCAAAGAAACATAGGCTCCATGGTTTCCCTTATTTGCAATAACTAATATAAGTCTAGGACAAGCTAAAAGCTATGTACACATGACCATATAAGATGATGTTAAGTGAAATGAACCCCAAGAAAAGGACACAACTCTTTTCCTTCTTTCTTTCTTTCTTTCTTTCTTTCTTTCTTTCTTTCTTTCTTTCTTTCTTTCTTTCTTTCTTTCTTTCTTTCTTTCTTTCTTTCTTTCTTTCCTTCCTTCCTTCCTTCCTTCTCTCTCTCTCTCTCTCTCTCTTCCTTCCTTCCATTTTCTTTTTCATAGTCAGACATGCTCCCATTCATCAGTAAGAGACTACTAAGCACAGGTCAGGCCATGCCCTGCAGTCACAGAAGGTGCCTTGTCTCAGGAGGTTAGTGCTGGGCCACCATTGCAGCCTCAGTCACTGTGTCTCTCAAGGCACAGAAGTACTCAGCTGTGTCACTCCATTGTATTGAGGCTTTCTTCAGATGGAAGGAGGTTTCACTCTTCTTAAACTCAGCCTCAAAGCCTTTGATGCCTTTAACCACAGTTTTCCCTGGTTCATATTTGAGGAGAAACTGGAGGCCTTGGTTGGGGTACTGGACATACCAGAAAAGATAAGGTGTTCCACCATAGGAATAGTTGCATCTTAACTCCAAAGGGGCTCTTTCAGAGACAGTGACATGGCTGTCGAGCTGGGTCACAGACTGAGCTCCACTTCCTCCTGCAAAATCAACATTGTGTCCATGAGACCAGGCCAAACATACCAGTGATGTTCAGCTTCTGACTGGACCAGCATTACTTCTGTGGAGGTAGAAACAAGGAGCACACCACTTACTCAGCATGAAGGGCACTCCAAGCAGCAGAAGGGCTACTGAGACCATGGTTAGATGGTGAGGAGGCTAAGCTTTCTGAAATGTATGGAGAAGGAATCTGTCAGAGAACGCTGCGTACTCGTGATGGGGAAAGTCTGGTAGTCACTGGTTTCCTGTTTCAAAAAGCCCTAGGAGATGCTGTGAGATGCTTTCTTGGCAATGCAACTCCAAGTGTAAGGTGAAGAAGTGTAAAACCTGTCAGCAGACATTTCCAGTCTGTGCAATATCGCCCCCTAGAGTCAAAGTTACAAACTGAGTCAAGGTTTTTGTGGTCTGTTTTCTTAGCAGTGTTACTAATGCTGGTGAGGGAGTTTTCAGTGGTCAGTTTATTAGGAGGCTATCTTAATCTTATGGACTAAATGCCATTATTGAATCCCGCGAAATGAAAGTATTGTCATCCTCATTTTACAAGTGAACAAACTTAGTATGGAAGAGAAGTTTCAGTTTGCCCAAGATTAAACAAAGCAACAGAAGTGCAGTTTGTCTATTAATATGTCAAGAATCCATGTTATTAACTAGTGATAATTACTGCATATTTCTCATTGTGGGTCTCAAGAGAGATACTGTCCTTACTTAACAGATGAGAAACCAAGTCTTTATGACATGAAATAATTTACCCAAGTACAGATGAAGATTGCATCTAACTCTTTTCTATTCCAAGATCAGCCCACTGTGTGATCTTGATATAGTAGGAGTAGTTGCAATTTCACAAAAACAAAGGCTCTGAGCAAAACTCAGAAGAGAATAAGGTCTAGAGAAAATCCTCAAGGAGCCTTAAGACTGGAGGCATGAAGAGCAGAAAAAATACCAAAGAGAGCTCACAAGTAGATTCAGTAATATGACTGTGGTTTCATGAAAGGTGGGTTTACTGTATTTCTTTCAGTTAGTGATGGAGCTACAATTACTAGCATGAATTTTTATGCACCAATGAAAAAGTTTAATTCAAATAAAAGTAGCATGTGGTTGTTGGAGAATATGGAGAATATGGAGAAAGAAGGGCCAGATTAGGGAATATAGGAGGTAAGGGAATTAGGGAATTAGGGCCAGATTAGGGAATATAGGAGGTAAGGTCCCCAGTCTCCTCTCTTTGCTAGCTTGGCCTTTTAGTGTGTTATCTAGCCTCTAGAAAGAACTATGGATACCTCCCTTGGGGGCAGCATAGGTGACCAAAAGGGGATGGAGTAGATTAAGCCACAGCTCACTCTTCCCTTCCCTTTTAACCTATGAAGGCACATACTCAATTATTCCTTTGCTAGCTAATCACAAATACCAGCTCTGTTACAAAGGTCTGGTTAATGGCATGACAAGCAGCTTTCTCTACATCCCAGGTCCCTGGAGTCAGTGAAACTGGTATTTGGACTTCTTTCCTACAAGGACCTTGGATCTGCCTACACCACTTAAGGGTACTCACTGGCTTCTAATACAACTTCCACATAAAACATTAAATAGTATGTGAGTGCAGGGGCCAGGAGCTCCTTGGGGTTTGGAAATTGTTAGATGAAATAATTTTCCTTTACTCTGCTCTTCGCTGAGGCAATCTCCATCTGGAGGATAGTGCTAGGCTCACCTTCCACAGGTTCATAGTTCATGTAGCTGCCTTTGTTCTTGTACAGGTAAAAGCAGATCAATATCACCACAGAGAGTAAGGTGAGGAAGACCACAATGATAACATCTGCATGAGTGCTGCTCTGGCTTCCTCAGTTTCTGGGGACAAATTCTCAGTAGCCTGAAGCGTTGGGGGTGGTCATCAGCTCTTCTCTAGGAGAAGGCATGGTCAGAAGGCTGGTCCTTGCTGCCAGGGAGTCATCACCTGGAGGAAGGGGCATATGGGCAGATCTTTCTAATCTGACAGGCCACGGTGCAGGTGGGAGGAGAGGGGAGGCATGATTTTTAACCTATTTTTAATAAATGACATCATCCTAATTATCTATCTATCTATCTATCTATCAATCGTTCTATCTATCTATCTAATGCTGGTAGTAGGCCTTGCACCCAGCTTAGGAGCCATCCTTCAGCTTTTCACTCAAGGCTGGCACTCTACCACCTAAGCCACAGCTCTATTTCTAGCTTTTTGGTTAATTGGAGATAACAGTTTCATGGACTTCCCAGACTAATCTGGCTATCAGCTGTGATCCTCAGATATCAGAATCTTGAGTAGCTAGGATTACAGGCATGAGCCACCAGCTTACTGTTCACCATGACTTATTAAAAATGATTTTCAGATTACAAATAATTATTTGTTGATGCTGAGTGTCAGAGCAGCAGCAGTCATGGGTCTGGTGTAATGCCAGCTGCCTGATGAGCACAGTCAAGGAGCAGTGGTAGGTGGCTTAATATTTGGGCTGGGATACTTTAACATCCATGTGCTATAAGCCTCCTTAGTATTGAGATTGACTCTCAAATTTATTTTTTTAGTCAACATTTGAAATCATTACTAACAAGATGTTGGGGTTACTTGTAGGATTTCATTTTTACTAGTGCAGGCTATAAAAAACAAAGGTGAAATTCAGTGATCCAGGACTCAATTTCTTATTTATTTATTTGTTTTTTATTTCCAGTACTGGGCATTTGAACTCAGGGCTTTTGTTTGGTCTATTCACTCAAGACTATTGCTTTACTACTTGAGGCTAGCTTCAAACTGTGATCTTCAGATCTCATCCTCCTGAGTAGGAAGGATTATAGGCATGAATCATAGATAACTGGTACATTTCACATTTTATATGCCACCTATTTCTTTTTAGAAATAAGTTCAGAGATGACATAGAAATCAATGTCTCTTCAAAGTATGCGTTTTCTTTGTTCACTATCCCCAATATACTCTAGAGATTTTGTTTCTTGATATATGTATACAGCCCTACAACCATGAAGACTTTGAAATATTTGCAACATAAAGGATTAGATGCATGCCCTGGGAGAGAAAACAGTTCATTTGAAAAAGTTATTCTACCATTATATATTGATTTTACCTCTTAGATGAGGAGGCATTGTTCTAAGCAGGGAAGACCCAGAAGTTGAAGGGATAGGTAAAGGCCTAGAGAGCAGCTGGAGAAGCAAAACATAGGTTTCAATAAATAAGATAATTTTAGATAAAGCCAATTGAATACTACACTGAGATGGATAGTCATGGTAAGGACAACTGTGGAGAGAAGGCTCTACAGTGATATTTACTCTGCAACAGGAGTTAAGGAATTTAGCCTCTAGCAAGTTCAATAACATTTTCTGCAAATAACAGATCTCTGTTGAATACTGATTTAAGCATTGACAACCGTTGTCTATTTTACTTTGCATAGTAACCATATGTGGTAGATTCCTTTAATGCTGATATTGTAGGGATGAGGAACTCCTTCCATAAATTATTAGGTAATCTGAACAAGATAACTCAAATAATGAGTGCTAGATATGGGAAACCAACCCAACCCAGAATATAGTCTCAAGTACTTTTTAATTTTTATTTTACTATTTCCTAGACTCCACTTGTTTTTGTTGCTAATGATACAATACTATAGACTGGGAAAGTTATAAAGAAAAGAAAGCTTGAGGTGGCACATAGCAAGAGATAGACAGTGTCTCTGTATCTTTATCTTCTGGTTTCTTTCCCTCTTCTTATAAAGCCAGCAGTATTATTCTAATCCTTGAGGCTGTACCCTGATGACTCTCCAATCCAAATCACCTTACAGAAGTCTCACCTCTTAATATCAAAAAGTTTCCATAGTATTAGGTCACAAAGGATATTAAGTGCCAACATTAGTATTGCAGGGGGCAAATCATATCCAAACCATAGTCCTCCCTAAAGGAAGCTATTACTCACCTGGAAGAGTTCAAATAGAATAAAATGAGAGCACATACTTAAATCATCTACTGCAATAACTTGTATCTTAGGCCCTCAAGCAAATCTACTTAATGTAGGAAATACTGGTGCCTGGGAGTCACACTCTGAAACTTTAATGAAGCCTTATGCACAAGATAAAGCTCGCAATATTTTTCTGAGGTATATTTTGAAAACTATTTAGCATAGTAGATTGTCATAAATGTTCTTTCTAAAGTATTTCTTACTGTTCATGAGAAATAGGGCAGTGCTGTGATATTTCGGAAGATTGGAAGGCTTTCTTATGAGATGTTCTTACAATGACTTATTTTTCTCTGGCAGTGACTATTGCTCCCACATCTCATATAGTTTTATAATCTACTAAAGTGCAGAACAGTAGATACAATTTCACATAGCAGAGAAAAGCTCCTACCACGTGTAACACTGTCAAACATTATTTCTGGGTATCCGACTGTCTTCTAGCCCAACTCATCCTGTGTGTACCATCTGTTATTTTTAGATCAGTTGCCGTCACATCTAGGAAGGGAATAGATCAACCACCAGTCAGCCCTCCTGAATCCTCTCTGGCATTATTACTGTTATAGGCACTTTATTGACATTGGTTCACAAATGGTAATTCCTGTTGTGACTAGGCTTTGACACAATTTAACTTGTGACCACTAGAGGGCTGCAGGGAAGCCAGCATAAATGCCACAAAATGTTTTAGACAGACACCAGATGGCAGTACTTCAGGTAAGAATTGCTTCCTATCTCCACAGGTAGCACTTGATTCTCAAGGAAAGAAAGCAAGATTTAGACAGTGTTCAGAATCTAGTGGCATTTAAAGAAAGATGTAAGGGAAGTGCAGAGTACACTATGCACATCTGCAGGGAGAACATTATAGACATAAGGCAAAGGCCAGGAAAAAAAGATTCTCAAATGGAAACATGCTCTGAGTGTTTCAGGAATCACCTTTTCTTGAATTTCACAGCACTCTATTACATAAAAGTTGAGCTGAGCATTCAGAACTGTTAACTGGTTAGCTGATGATTTTCTAATCTATTGCTCCTTGGGCAATATGTACCTAGCTTTGGAATCTTTTTCTGTAGCTGCCTTTAGGATCTAGTTGACACTGTAACATCACCATCATAGAGACATCTGCCACCTTCCCTGGTCACTTGCTTTTCCATAGCCCAAACCCTGCTCCTTAGATGTCCTTTCAGATACCATGATCTGCTTACAATAAAAGTCAGATGGGGAGAAGAGATAGAAATGGAAAATTGACATAAATCGCTGTGAAAGTACATATGAAAGAGTGACTATCAAGGTTATCAGGGAAGGCTCTATTAAGTTTCTGGCACTTGCTGAATTTCAAAGTATAGGAACTGGTGAGGTGAGACAGGAGAAGCACATACTAGGCAGAGGAACAAAGCTTCAGGCACAAAACTCAGGTGTAAACTTAAGGGTATGACTATACAGGGAGTCATCAGAATATAGGTGAGAGACAGGGTTGTAACAAGAGATGCAAATGTAGTTAAGGCATTATTTGAATTAGCCTGGTTTACCTTGTTGGAAAGTTGAATTTTATGCTTTAGACAACACCACTAGAAGCTTTTAGGGAATGGACTAAAATTTATCTTTTCTTTTTTTCTTATTATACTTTTAGAAATTGTAAAATATAACTTACCTATGAAAGAATCAATATAGTACATATTGTTTAAAAAAAGGAAAATTAGTTACTATCTTGCCCATGTAATTGTAACCCCTCTGTATGGTATTTTCACAATAAAAAAAGGAAAATTAGAGATGTTTAATATTAGAGAAAGTTATGTTTCATTTCCAAAATATTAAAATGAGAATGATTTAAAAATCTTTTTTCCTAGGATTTTTATGTCTAAATTATATAATAATTGTAAAATCTTTAATATGTTATCTCACATAAGTAAGCTAAATAAGTATTGGTAATTTTTTCTTAATAAAACCTATATTTACTTTATTTTAAATTTAATTTTATTGTCAAGGTAATGCACAGAGGGGTTACAGTTACATTTTTCTCCCACTTTCCCTCTCTTGCCAGCCCCTGCCCCCCCAGTTGTAAAGTTCATTTCCAACATATTGTGAGTATTGCTTTTGCATTGGTTTGCCCTTTGTCCTTTTTCTCACCATTTTGTTGTTCTCCTTCCCTTCTCCAAATAGGATAACCATATATACAAGACACAGGCTACCAAAATAAAAAAAAAAAAAAAAACCAATGACAACAGGGGATACACCAAAGGGGAAAAAAGGAAAGAGAAAAGAAATAACTGCACACAGTACATTAGAAACAACAACAACAAAGGAAAACCTCTTGTTTCCATATCTTGGAGTTCATTTCAATTAGCATCATCTCATAACCTACATTAGCATCATCTTATAGCCTACATTTCTTTAATGTCTAGGTCCATACTGCCTTTTTCTTTTTCTCTCCACAAAGACTTAATGATGGAAAGTTCTAGAAAGCTTATTCAAACATTCCTCCTTGTAGGTGATCTATTCCTCAACCTTCTGAGGTAATTTCCTCCTGACTACATTAATATACTCAAGGAACTGTGAAGATTTGGAGGAAACTCTCAAATGTGGTTTAATTTTCATTATCTTAATCAATAGTGTATTAAGTTCTTTCATTTAAGCTTATCAAAAATTGGATATTATAGTTCTATAGCAACTAAATTTGTGTCATGCTAGTGTTTATTATTGATTTGTATGAGCTTTTTGTATGTTGTTCACAGCTTTGAATATTCACAGCATTGTGGTCTGTGCATTGACTTGCCAGATTCTCTCTTTTTTGTCCTGGTAGTTGAGCTTTGAACTCAGAGAACTCTATAACTTGTGTTTTGATTAGGGCCTCAGCATTTTGGCTTGGCCCAGCCTCAGACAGTGGCCTTCCTCCTAGCCTACTTACTTAGCTAGACTTAAAAGCCCATACCACGTGCCCAGCCCAGATAGTCGTCCCACTTTTGTATAAAAGTAATAGGAAAGTTTATTAGGAAAGAAATGTGTCAAGGAAAGGGATTATGTGCAGGAGCACAGGTATTGACTTAGGTTAATTGCTCTGGTCTTAATAGTGATTTTTAAATAGAAAAATTCAAAATATATTTCACAGCTACAGGAAGATAGCTTGAAAGATTTTCTTTTAAAACTTTAGTAATACTTTTTTGTAAAAATAATTTTCTCATTGGCTCCCATTGCTTCAAATAATA